ATTTTGAAATGAAACAATAAATACGCGTCTTGAATATTTTAGGCTATTTACTGTTTCATTAACACGGTATCATTCATTAATATCCATATTTTATTAGATTTAACATAAGCACACATATAAATTCGTGCGCACACGCCCTCATAAAATATGATCTGTAACAGAGCAAACAATATATGGTAAAAATTATATACTATGTATTATATAACTGTATTGTAGGTAGGTACATCATATTTATTTTTACAGATATAGGCCTTTCGAACACATAGGCTCACATAATTGCTGGAATAAGTGAAAAATTAGTAAGCATATTGTAAATGCATTATAAAAGGATTTTTTTGTATCTTTAGACACTTTCTTCATATTTAGGATCAAATTAAAGGATTTAATGAAAATGTTTTTTTGGGTTTCCTATAATATCTGAAGATACAGCTGTTATTAGAGTTACATTGCATTTGACACAGTGGTGTTTTAATCTCAATTGAATGGAAATCAAATACCTATGGAATTATCATCAAATCAACTATTTTTAACACCCTTAAAACTGTGGTTAGTATGAGCACAAAACATTCATTCTTGTATCATTTTACAACGTTTCACAAAATAATTAAGGACCGTTACGAATTATAAATATCCATAGTTATATTATATTTTCTCTTAACCATCTACTACGAATTCCGTTTAACTCTATTAGTGCTGAATCTGATAATAGCAGTATACGAAAAATCAGCATATTATGTGTTCGTATCGTTTCATTTTGATGGACTTTCTGTGTTTTTGCTCTGTTTTTAGATTTATTGATAAACTTGATTTTTCAATATACTTATTAATTAATACTCATTTTGTATCTTATAAAATTAATTGTATATCAAATAATAAAAACATTTTTAAAACAATATAGGTACCTTTGGTTTATTTAGTCTTTCAACTAGGTACCTATACTAGTTGATATATAAAATATATGTGTATCTGAATAACTAATTTTTTTTTTTTTTTTGCTTAAATCTTTGGTTATCATTCATTCATTATGTTATAAATTATAACAAAATATTCATAGCATTTTAATGAATATAATAATGATAAATTAGGTTTTTTTCTAACTTTTTAATACATTTTCAACAACAAAATATTCAGTAGCATTTTTTTAACGTAATTATAAATATACTTATTTAATTAATTTTATGAATTAAAAATCTTGAATCACATTAATTTTACGTAATTATAATAATATTATAACAGTAATATTCTTTCTTTTTTTTTTTTTTTACTGATCTTTTTAAGCTCGGCAACTAAGGCCATTAACTGTGGATAAGAATAGTAGATTTTTTTTTTGTTTTTGTGTAAAGTTTTTTATTTGTAAGATTTATTTAGTATGGTTAGAACACATGTGTATATGTGTGTACGCCTTAGATTCGTCACTAAAAACTCAGATGGTCACCCATCCGAGAGCTAGCGAAGCCGGCCGATGTTTGACCTTTAAACACATAAGTAACTGAGGCCAACCACCGCACCACACCAGGCCACTAATAATCTTTTATTAGGGTTTAAACTCTGATATTTTATATATGTTCTTGTTAATAATATAATTAAATAGCAAAAATTAAATGTATAAATAAAACAATGTAATAAGTTGTAATATATCAAATTCTATATTATACACGTTTTTCATTTTTTTTACAAAATAAACACACATGTCTAACCCTAACGCTAATCATATACGTAGGTAATTAAGTCATAGATATAATAATATGCATGACGAAGTTTTTTTTTTTTATCAACAATCATTAACGGAATAGGTGTCTAATAAATTGAAGATCAATGTAACGCGGCACAAGCAACAACTATGAAAAAAATGTCATTATTTTCTTATCAGTTTACTGCGTAACAATGATTCAATTGTTGTATTATTCCTATTTATAGTAAGTACTATTACAAAATATGACATAATAAATAATAAAATTAAAATATAATTATTACCATCAATTACTGAAAAAACAATTACTCATTATTTAATTATCATTATTATGTAATTTTCATCATCTATACAAATATGCAATATAGTAGTAGAAATTGCATTTACAATTTCCAATATTTTAATTGGTCAAGGGTTAATTTTAAGTATATTAACTTGTTATGTGATTTAAAATTCGAATCATTGTCATTGTGTATTTAAAACTAGTAAGCTGACTCATATCACTCTTGTGAGGGTCTTATAATATAATATAATATAATTGTTTCGATAATATTATATAATTTATAACTATGAACTCAATTTATTTTTTCACAGCGATGGATTAAAAATTATATTTTTCTTAATTTAAAACAAAATATTAAAAAAAAAAAACTCAAATAAAACGTTTTAGGTACTTTTAAGACAATATAATATATTTTATAATTACCTAAAAATCCCCAAACCTAATCTGACCTGCCGTTAAAGCATGATATTATGTATAATATATATTGTGTACTAACATTATACTTGTCTTATATGAAGTATTGCGATCATCTCTAGCTGTATACTTTTTTTTTTTACCATGTTTGCTTATAATGATATAAAGTTCAATTTCATTAATAAATAATATATTGGATGAGTTTTATTTGCCAATATCCATGATAAATTTAGCTTAATTAAATAATATTATGATACAAATTCAATTAATCGAAGTTATACGATTTTATTTCAAATTTGTTAATTGCAGGTAGGAGATAATAATAACAAGTTACAATAATTATGAGTAGAAAAATTAGAAACTTTGAGAACATTAACTATAGCAATGAAACACATATTTATTTAAAATTGCATTATCGTTTAAAATATTTTACTTACTCATTATTATTTAATCATAAACCATAAAAATTAAACTTTCAGTACTATTTATTCCAACCTTCTTTCTAACATTTTAATTTTAAATTTGAAGCTCATATTGCTGTTTAAGAAGTATATCCTTTAATTATTATTAAAGCCTGTCATTTTCATCTTTACAAAGCATAATATAAAAAAATAGTCTAATTATAATATTAAAAGAAGCGTAAAATGATTAAAAATCACAATCTAGATATTGATTCAGACTCTAAAGTATTGTTAAGCTTAAGCTTGCCTTATTTTACTTTACATCTGGTTTCTAATGCATTTTTTAAAACAATGACAACTTTTTCAGATGAAAAACAACATTCATTTTTTACTGATAATATATGACATAACTGAAAAACTTATTGAAACAACTAAATAACTCCATATTTTTAAAAAATAAAAAAATTATAGTTATTTATATAATATTTTACAAGCGGGTGCAACAAAAATATATTAAATAACATGGTTTATTTAAAATCAATAAATATTTTATTTTCAAGTGTCAATGAAATGTATGCAGTTTTCAGTTATCGACCTTCTAATATTATTTTTTTAAGCAATATATTATCAAAATACGTTAGGTATTTGGAGTATTTTACGATGTTAATTTTAAAATGTATAGTTACGAACGGTAAGTGTGCAATTTTGAGAAATGCTTGTAAAATTAACATATGAGATTAATATCAAATATCAATTGATGTGTAGAATCGATGGGTTTTTTGTTTACTCGGCTCTCCAAAATGTTTTCTATAAATAAATGTTGTGAACCACAAGCTACTTCATTCGATATACTTTTTGCTCTACGGCCGATTTAGCAAGTTACATCTTAGTATATAACTGTAACAACATTTTATGATTTCCTTTTAATATTAAAGTATACTAATGATTGTAAAACACATCGAATTATTGTAACAATGTAATACAATATCCTTTGGAAATAATTTTCCGTATAAAATTATTTTTTTTATACATTTCTATTGAATAAAATAATTCAAACATTAAACTGTAGGTATATTGTAGTTTAACTGCGATTACACGTTATTCTATGTTGAAACACTGTGATTTTCTATTTAAGGTCAAACATTTTTTTCTTTCAACACATTTCTAAATTCTTATAACTCAATACTGAAATATTTAAATAAATATATAAAAAAAAAAATCATAACCTCATAACCGTGTATCCAAAAAACGTGTCTTTAAAGTAAGTGCGCAGTTTTAAAGTATCAGCATAAGATCTTTGTCCACGTGGTGGACAGATTAGTGTTATTGTAATAATAATCATGATAAAATAAACAATGTTAAATGAAATAGTTTGATCAATGAATAATATTACACAAACATAGTGTAATATTTCTCCTTTGAATTTTAGATTATATTAGATTTAATCCGTACGATAAAAGTATGTAATACGCTCTACTAATATGATAATATTTTCGCAAATAAAACAATAATAATGATAATAAGTCAAAGTGAACCCATACTATAGAGAAGTATCCGGATATTGCAACAATAACAGATTGTAATAAATGTAAAATTCTCGTAGCATGTAAGTTACTTGACCAATATGGCAACATTTATGATTGATTAAGTCGGCCCTAATTATAAAAGCTATCCGACGATACTATTATTGTTATCCGGTAAAAAAAACCTTTGACCCAAATGTTTGCAGTACTATTTTCTATGTATATATAGGCTCTTATTGTTGTTATTTATTACCATTCATCATATTATTATAATTAATAAATACTAGTGGTTACATTATATTATAATATGTAAATTTTAGGTACTCATCATAGACTTCTAATAACATTTATTTATTTTGTCTATATTTTAATGGTTCACAGCTCATTTTTACTATTAACACTTCTTGACTTGGGCGTAGGCACCTGTTTGAATAATGGCCATTCCTACAAATTGATAATTATTTAAAAATGTCACGCTAAATTAGAATTGTACATATCGGTGATTTTGTTATAGCAATTCGTGTTCTAAAAAACTTGGTTTCGGACTATCTATAACTCATATTCCTATAACCTTCACCTTCTCACGTAATATTAAATAGGAATTGAAAACTACGAGTCGAATGGAGTCAATAAATACGATATTGTAAATAAATAATATAATTATAAAAATAAATATAATAATTTAGGATTATACATTTAAATAAACTTATAATTACTTTTAAACATTTTATCACTAACTTAAAAATTAATATATGCAATAACTTTTGATGTACATTAAGAGAACATTTGAATAGTCTATAGGTAGGTGTGAACTGTTAATTTTGTTGATGTGAATTTAGACGTCTGAACAAGCTGTTGATTTGATCTTGTATATCTTTTGGCAAATCTTCGTCTACCTGTTCGTACAAAAAATTTTCTATTTCTTTGGCCTGAAAACGTGAAATGACATAATTATAATATTTTTGTTTTAACATATAAATTAATGAAACTGGCATAATTAAAATTGCTAAAATATAGACAATAACGACTCACCTCTTCCTTCCAAAAGTCAATGGGGACGGAAAACAGCCCGTCAAAGTTTACGTTTAGTCCATGAACATCGAATGATTCGTGAGTAGGCACATAACCAATGGGTGTCGGTCGTGCTGTGAAAGGTTCCCCGTCTATCCGACGTAAAATCCAGTCCAAAACGCGACAATTTTCACCATATCCTGGCCACATATATTTTCCCTGTTCAGATATACATTAAGTCGCCATTAGTATAAATAAATTAATAATAATCAACGTTTAATAATGATGGTCACTCAAATTTCAACACAAAGTTTATCATATGAGTAGACGGTAGATTTTAGGCCAAACCCTCAAAAAAAGATATATATTTTTAATTATGTATTGCGACGTAGTGAGTATTATAGTATAGAAAAACAATTAAGGATTTTTATGATAGATTTATTAATAATTATCTATGTATTAGTTTTTTTTAAATTTAAATACTAAAATACGTAATATTTAAAATCGACTTTTTTTTTTTTAATTGTTTACAAGGTCTATTAATTTAAGAGACCATATCGTATAAATTAAAAGACGTAATGCTCGTTTCATTTTTGGTCAAAATCAAAAATATAAGTCAAGTTGACCAAAATCAAAATGATAAACAATGCTGGTCATGAACCACCGATATGGTGCTGAGGGTATTAGACCAATACACTTACTTGGTCATCTTTTCGGAACCAGTTTACGTGGAATACTTTAGGCACCTTAACGTTAGGTATGGCTGTCTCCATTGACAACCAGTGCTGCAAATAGTGTCCAAAGTTGTATCCGAAAAAAGGCCTCATGGCAAACGGGTCATGCATGATGTCTTTGCCCTTGTGTTCGGCAGCTGCGGTAGCTTCAGACTTCATGGAAGCACCAACATACACTCCATGTTTCCAGTCAAATGCCTCATATACTAAAGGCACACCAAACGGACGTCTGCCGCCGAATAAGATAGCGTCAATTGGTACACCATCTGGAGACTGCCAATTAGGGTCAATAATTGGACACTGTTCAGCTGGTGTACAAAACCTACAAAGAGAGAATAGGTCCTAATACACTAATTTATAAATGTGACTATCAACTAGTAGTAAGTTATTTCTAAGATAAAAAAAAAATTACTTATGTATAATAAAGTTATTTTCTTATGATAATAGATTTAGGTTAAATGATAATTTTAAAAATATAGACTTTTCATGTTTATAATTCATTTTTTTTTTAAGCTAGATATCTATAATTAAGGGTTAAAAATTCAAAATTAATTGTTGTTAATTAATAGAATTTATTAATATTGAATTAATATTTTATTTATTGTTTAATCATATAATAGCTTATAGATATAATAAAATACATTATTTATTAACTATATTAAATTATCATTGACTTAACTAACTTAAATTATTTTTTTTCTTATACTAAATAACTTTTGGATTTTTGGCCAATATTTCATTAAAAACTTCTTAATCTAGAAAATTTATAAATTCAAATATCGTTATACTGTGAATATCGAGAATTATGAATAGTGTAGATATTATTTAAAATACTATAAAATCTGAATTATTCCTAAAACCAGCAATTTTTTCATTTAATATCATTTTTTGTCATCTTATAGGGTATTTGACTTTTGTTCACTGTACATCAATTTTAAATACTTACCTAGAATTTGGGTGCGCGGCTGGTGTGCCGCCGGGTGTCCATGGATTGCCCTGCCAGTCTGTGACGGTAACTCCAGGTTCCAGGGTATCCATTCCTTCCCAATATACACCACCATCACTGGTTTGTGCTACATTGGTAAATATCGTATTTTCAAACACCGTGTCCATAGCCACAGGGTTTGTGGTCCTGGATGTACCGGGTGCCACGCCAAAGAATCCAAATTCTGGGTTAATGGCTCTCAGCTGCCCGTTTCGGTCAAACCGCATCCATACGATGTCATCACCCACGCACTCCACCTTGTAACCTGGAAGTGTAGGCCGCATCATCGCCATGTTAGTCTTGCCACAGGCACTCGGAAACGCGGCAACCACGTACCGTTTTCGACCCCTTGGATTAGTCACGCCCAAGATCTGTTGAGTAAAATAATATATTTTAGGTTAATTTTCAGCTATAATACGTTCCGGCAAATCCTAAGTTTCCCGAGTGTGGTAGGAATGTAAAAATAAATCGAAAATAATCTGAATACAATCTAGAATACGTGAACTTTGGTGGTAGTGATAAGAGTATGATATTCTTTTTTATCATACTGTCATCGAAGAATCGTATTTCTCATATCATTTAATATAATATTATAATATATCTTATATTATATTATACTACTAAATACTAACCAACATGTGTTCCGCAAGCCAACCCTCACGATGAGCTATTGACGAACCAATTCTTAAAGCGAAACACTTCTTGCCCAGGAGCGAGTTACCACCATATCCGCTTCCATAACTAATGATTTCGTCTGTCTCAGGTCTGTGAAATATCACATGTACACGTTAATCTCACTTAATGTATATTATTTCAATCTATCAACTAACCGTGCAAAAATTCCTAAATAAGCTCATTAAAATTATTAACACGTGAAAAGGCATTTAATTTAATTTCTAGATTCTTATAGCAATCGAACATAAGTCTTATTATTATGTTCTTAATTTTATAATTCTTTATTTTCAAAATGTCAATGTATAGAGAAAAATTTAGACATTTTAGAGTATTTGTGAGTATTTTTACTCTTATTAGGTCTATATAAGTACATATTTTCTGCATTTTATTATTTAACATAAAGTATTTACATTAATAATTTTTATAATCAATAAAATATTTCTACCTCACTCATATAATGACATCGATTCATTGAATTAACTCAGGCACGCAATAATGTGATATTTTATAGAATATAATATTTCAAAGATATGAGTGAATAATAACAAAATTATATGAGAAATTAATACATTTATGTTAAATTATAATAGATATACTGACTTGTGCAAAATAATGGTACGGTCGGGATCACAAGGCCAGTGTGGGTGTTGGACTGGGCCTTCGGCCGGATGACCGACTGAATGCAATGCCTTAACGAAATAACCCACGCCGTTGCCATTATCATCAGGACAGTCAAGTTTTTCTAATACCTTGATGCCGATTCTGGTCATGATGCGCATCGAGCATACGACGTACGCCGAGTCTGTAAGTTGAACTCCAAGTTTTGAGTACGGCGAGTCCAGAGGTCCCATGCTGAACGGTATAACATATATAGTTCTACCCTCCATACAACCTGGGAACCGTTCGGCGACGGCACTATCCGCTTCCTCCAGACTCATCCAGTTTCCCAGCATCCCCTTGATCGAACCTTTTGGCACGTTGACTGCGTCTCTCTTATTTTTGGTACATATAAACGTCCGGCTCTCCACCCTAGCAACGTCCCTGGGACTGCTCCTGGCTAAAAAGCTGGAAGAACAATTATTATTGATTAAATCACGTTTAAAAAACCTTTATAAAATAAGCTTGTGGTGTATAGAGTGGTTAGGAGATTAACCGTTCTCGTTGTCCCGACAAAATTTCAACGAAAAGTTATTTGTCCTTTTACACAAAATATCCATTTTTTCCAATTATTTTATTTAAATAAAAAAGTAATTTTCTTTAATTATTGTATTTATATTTTATTTTTATCGTGATTATATCGGTGTTGCAATATTGGTGTCCTATTATTGTTTCGAATTTGCAAAATGTTAAATAAGATTTAAATTGTAAATGATAACACTTCGCTTTGTTGCACTTATTTTGTGGGTTGAAAACTGAAATATATTGCCATACTAGAAGATATATCATAATAACTAATATTTTTTTACGAAACGCTTTGATAACTACAATAATAGTACCTAATTAAGTAATTAATTATTATTATTCTACTTGAATACGTTGTATGTCTATCACGTGCGTGAGGTGAAATGTCAGCGAGTTTTCTATGGCGTGTAATTATTTAATATTTTGTCTTATTTTTTAGATTACATTTTTTAACTCAATAGTAAGTCAACAATATTACTATTATAACCCGCTAACAATGATAGCTAATGTAACCTACATTATACTCCTATCTAATTTAAATAATTAATAATCAACAATTAAAATATAGTTAATTTATTTTATTGATTAATTGTATAATGCGATTTTGATAAATACGATAATTTTATTACCACTTTACGATTCAGCGGCTATAATTGTGTAAAGAAATTGGCTGAGACTGATAGATTGTGGACAGGTTATACGAAAAATTATAATTATTTATGAAATAATACTTTAAATTAATAAAACGATAATTATTTTTAAATATCGAAAATTTTAAAATTAAAAACAATATTTTAAATGTTGTCTGTTGTTTATTTGTGATGATATACAATATTAGCAAATTTGATTATTAATGATCGAGCTAATATTTCGTACCTTTTCAAATCCTATTAAATGGTTTTAGTGTTCTGAGACAGATTTCTTTAAACATTCCGAATCTTGGAGTTTCATCCGGTGAGTGTTATTTAATTGTTTCCGAACATCGTTTAAAAATCAGTTGTGAGGACTGTCAAAACTATTTAACTTTACATGAAACTTATTCATTTCGTAGTGAATTCTCAACAATTTAACCATAAAATGTGTATTCACAAAACTGGATTTCTGTCAAAAATATTTTATATTAGACTTTTTATGTCACTGAATAAAATTGAAATCTAGTCCGAAACGAAAATATACTCTGTCGTTCTATTTTAAATAAATTTTACAGTATTATGTATTTTATGTCTTTTTTTTTTATTTTGATACAAAACAATATAAAACGTAAAGTACAGTTTTGTATTTATGTTTTAGTTAAATCGTATATTTTCTCCTACCAAAACAAAATATGCATCGCGTTCAATCAGAACAAAGTAGGTAAAGTAGATACATAAAACAAATTTCAGTTTCTTTTTTTCATTTACGCATATTTTATTATATTATTACGTTACACGAAATAAGTTTTAGAAATGTATTTGAACATCGACATCGTAAAATAACGAGTAATATAACAACTTTCAGTGTAACAAATACAAAATTGTGATGATGCTATATTATTATTCAACATGTGTATTTATTTCACAAGCTAGTATAGAAATAATATTATATAACAACCGCCGATATGCAGATAGTAATTAAAATATATAAATTAAAAAAAAAAAAAAAAATAAGACATGAAAAAAAAATATTATCTTTTAATTTAAACACACAAAGTTTTCATCATCTAGTCTAGAATAATACTACAACTCAATCCAAGTTAATGACGTTTTCGGTTATTCAAAAAAAATGATCGTATAACTGTTGCTACACGCGTTTGACGTGCATGTTTTATGTAAGCGAGAAAAATGAATTTCCCACACTTTGTACACGTGCAGTTATTGATTATTTCTGTACGTACGAGCAGTATACGTCTATAATAGAATTGTTTGTTTTATTTAACCGTTTTCCTAGTTTTTCTTTCTAAACGTGAGTTACTGTTTCATTCTGAAAAAGTATTGCGCGCGTTTTTCAAGACAGAGCTTAAAACTGAAGAATATTTTTAAAAGACTTAAAAACAAATTCCTGTGATTCGGATATGTATAAATTAAATTAATCGAAATTCAAATTTATTATGCCATGGCGATAGTGCGAAAAAATAAACATCGCGGGATATTGAAAATACGTAAAATAAGACGCCGACGGAAGTATAATATTACCATAATAGTTATAAAATATACCAGCTACAGATAAATATTAAGCCACCGTTCGTATAATCGTTTCATATCAATATTAGTATGGTGAATATCAAAATTAATATAAATCAATAATGCATGATTATTATACATAACCACAACTGTTTAATGATGTCTAAAATAATCTGACCATGTATTCTCAAATTAGTTAAATAGATCTCTATTGTGTTAATCTATGATGAAAATATTATCAGCCTAAAACTTCCAATTCTAAAATTATTTTGTATTTGATTTTTATATATTCGAATCTATTGATCATGTAATTTTAGTACGCACACATAATGTCGTCATGCCTAAGTATAGTTAAGACTTCAAAAAAATTGATTACCTTAATGTAAATATAATACACATATAAGTATAATACTTATAAAGGTATTATTTTTTGAAAAAATGTAAAAACTTATTTTGGATTTGTTGTGTTGTTGTGTATGAAACAAATACAATGCCTTGCATTAATAATAATATATTGTCCAGATTTAGGGAATATTTATATTAGACCTGTACCTACATTTATTTAAAAATAAAATTACAAATTAAGCAACAGTAATAAAAAAAAAAATTAAAATTTAGAACATATTTACTGTAAAATTTAACACCTTAATAACCATCGTGTGTTCACGGGGAAGTAACTATTTTGCTGTACTAAACCACAGCAGTTAATAATAATAATAGATAATTATGAAACCATGAATAATATATTCCATCAAAAACTATAATAAATATGGTTATGTATCGTTAGACTTACCAGTTTTTGTACTTTGGTAGCGGAACAATAGTTTGATTTTCCAGTAGACGTTCTATGAGCATAGTGTTTTCAGCTTCGGATCCATCGCAAACGTACACGTTTGACGGCCTACACAACCGCACGCTTTCCTCAACAAAGTCTTTTACCTGTGTAAGTGTAATCATAATATTTTGGTATAACAATTAAAAATACAATACTATAAACGAACGTCACTTATCTATAGTTCTATAAAAATTAAAAAGTTTACCTTAAAATAATATTATTGAGTAAATTTTTTTCTATTTCTATCATTCCACCAAACATTATTAGACAAGTGTTGAAATAAATTACTATTTTACCAATTATTTTCTAATTTTTTTCAAATTTATTTTATTTTGTTATTAATACATTGTTAAAATAAAATATATTTTATGTAATGTACACTGTTAAAAATGTTTCAACTAATGTAGACATCCGGATTTGTTAATATTATCAAAAATTAAGTAATGAATTTTGAATTTATTATATTAGACAAAATAAAATTTATAATTAAGTATAAATAATATCTGGACGTGTTAGTGATGTATCAATATATTGACGTTAATCATTCGTTATTATTAAACACGCCTGTTAATAAAAAATAATATATTATACATAAATATATATATATATATATAATATATATAAAAATAAAATTTACAGCAGTAAACAAGAAATTAATAATATTTAGCATAATTCACCAAAACTGTATATTATGTTAATGATAAAACAAAAAAAAAAAAAAAGATGACCATGAATCAATGAAACATAGGTTATTAAAAATATTTATAACTGTATTTAATTACGGTGATAATGTACTACATATATATGGCAATAATGTAATTATTGCACCATAAAAATACTAAATTAATTGATTTGTATTTCTTTAGTATAGACTATAATCAAACCAGTTAAAATAAAAAATAAATAAAATAAAATATAAACATTAATAAAAACGTTTTAGTGAAATTTTTGTTTTAAACAGAAATTTACAATTTGGTATTTGTGATATACGATTGTTAACGTTTTATCAGTCCAGTAATGTATGTATGGATAAATTATACAATCACGTAATCATTTCTTATTTATGTGATCAAGATTTCCATATGATATTCTATTTTGCTTATCAGATATTTAAATTGAATCAATTGTTATAATATCAATGTTTTATAAAATTTTATGAATAAATTAAAACCAAAATCATATAAATTTTAAAGACAATTTACTTATCATTATTTAACATCGCGCGTAAACACAAAAAGTACAGAAACCATATGAAGGATATGTTTTAAAATATATAGTTATTAATTTTGTTCCTACCTTTTTAGGTAGCAACGACACAACGCTCAACTTCCTGACCGGCTGTGATCCGGAGGCCCATTGCAAATGTACCTTCGGCCTACAGTTCGATACGTCCCTGTGAAAAAAATAAATAATAACATGAATAATTTAATCGTTATATTAGTATTTCATGGGTTGATAATATTAACGTCAACATTTTCTCGTAAGGATCGAAGACATTGTTGCAATATAGTAGAATATTGTATACTTACTCTCCGATACTGTCGAAATCTGGCATTTTTTATTTTTTTTTTGTGATAAGGAGCAGTGACAAGATACGAAAACAACGTCAAAAAACTAAATAACCATGGATTCAAATCAGATGACGACTTCAGGTATCACGTTTCATTGAGATACGTTGCGTAAGTATAATATTAGCATATTATTATGATAAAATTAATCAGTGACGATGTGCAGCCGATGATGGACTAAATATCAAACCGTCGGACGATCCGTTTTTAAGTGTACGCGAAGCGTAATCTGTTTACACGATGTTATCTCGTATTTCTGTCCCCACCTCTATGTTTAACACGTGACCAAACAGACTCCCACCGAACAACATGTCACATGCGATCTACTCGCACGTGTTCTATAACAATATATGCGTAATTTGTGTATTATTATATTGTGGTACTACGAAAATAGTATAATTCTGTCGTAGTAAAGTACTAGTAAAAAAATGTATACATAGTACACTCTTTAGATAGAGATTCTATTGTTTGTTGTTTTTTTTCAGTTTAATCATATTATGTCACAGCAGGTTATGTGTCACAGGTATTCAATACGATATTTTAATACTAATATACTGTTATCAAGGAAATTTTCAAGATAAATACGATTAAAAAGACATTTAACCTATATCAATTTTAGAATTTGAATGTTGACTTTTTAGATCTTTATAGACAAACAGTTTTACTGCTCGAATATAACGTACCTAAACTAAAGTCTAGGAAAAAAGAACACAAAGGTACAATGTACATTTTTAAAGTTTTTCAATAACGTAAAAATTAAGCACTTATAACATGTTCAGAATTTATAATTTTTATCAATAATAAAACAATTATAAAGCCAATATCGGATTTATTATTTTAACCTTTTGTAACGAATTATATTATAAAACGATAAATTTTAGTATGCCCAAAAAAATTGTTAGATAACTAACTAAAAAATAAATTTCCAATCATCATAAATTTGTTATTTAAGCTTATGGTAAATTTTACTCTTTAATAAGTCTATAAGATAGCCATGTCCATATAAAAAGTCCATTACAAAAATGGAGAACACAATACTATTATTTTTTTTCCTAACTCGTTAGCAGCTATTATACTTACAAACAAAAAGTACTAAACCGAAATTGAAAAATGTGATGCTTATAATATATTTTGTATATTAAAATTATTTTATTTTTTACAAATCGTGAATAACCAATAAAACTGTTTACAGTGATAAGTAATTAACTGCTAAATGTGGCTCAACTTATCATTTGTGCATTTTTTTAAATATTTAAATGATATATAAATATAAAAATAAGAAGTATAGTGTATATTATATTTATAAATATAAAAAATATATGTGTATAAATTATTGTTATAATATCAATAACAAAATTTTTTAAGTGGTTTAAAATATTATTTAAATGATGTAATGTTGTATTACAATAATAATGAAGAGATAAATTAATTAATAAAACATAAAAACAACATATATTGTATAAGGTTCTATCTGCGTTGCTATGTTATAAAATGAAACTATTTTTTCACTATTTTGTAGGATCAGAATTTCATAATAAAACCAATAATTACCATATTTTCTTTGATTTTGATTCTAAACTATTTTTTCGTTAATTCTAATGATAATCAATATTCCTCTTTTAAATATTTGTGTTATTATACACAAAGTGTATATGTGGAAACTTTTGATATATTTTAATGCGTAAACTAAGTTTATACTTTTATGTTAAATGATAAGCGTGAACAAAAAATTAGTTTCTAGAAAAATAATGCTGGCATTTTTTTAATAATTTATAAGTTAAAGTTATATATATTATACAACTACATTACATCTCCACCAATATTAACAACGACAAAATCCAAGATTTCCAAAAAGAAAATTTTAAAACGTTATCTACTAAAGATAATTTTTAACGTATAAATAATATTTTTTTGTAATAAAATAATTTACAAACATATAAAGTTAAGTCAGTAATTTAAAATAATGGATAGTGTGATGACTTAAAAATTACTCTTCAATTATGTCTCTCTTACCAAATTTGTTAAGATTTACAGCATACTTATCGCTTAGGGCTTAAATTGACACATAGTAGGAAAGTCTGAAAAGAGTGCTATTATTTCCATATTATTTAAAACTTTTCATGTGTATAGAATTAAATAATTATCATTACTAAAAATTTGTTATTGTATTACATTGTCACAACTTATAATAGGGAAAAGTCCTTGTATTTATTAGTATACATCTAATTTATAAATTATTAATACCACATATAATTAATTTAGTTTACACGTAAATATCTCATTTTTGCTTCTTGCATTCATTTCTCTGGTATTTAACATGTGTTTATAGATATAATAAATTATTATGTTTTATTATTATGTGTTTATTTTAATAATAAATATTATTATTATTTTAGCTGTTGTGCAGATGAAACGTACTTGAAGCCCAGAATAAATCATCTATTATGCAATACAATTATGTTGTATTAAATAATGTTGGTGAAAAATTTTGGTTATCGGTCATCATGTTTGCAGTGATAATAGGTCTAAAATAATTTAACACAATATCTCTTACGGTATCCTTCATTAATATGCCATTTAGTGGTCGAGGCTATGACTTCTACAACAGACATATGTAATTTAAATCCCATATCCGATACAGAACCAATGAAAAATGATATGTATACTTTTTCACACAACTAAAAATATATTTCTAACATGCTCTGCTAGTGTTTATTATTATAACGCATTATTTTATATTATATTTACTATTTTAAATAAAAAGTACGTATAATTAAAAAATAACTGTTAATACATGAGATCTATGACTTCTAGATTTCCTAATATTTCGCATTACAAAAAAAATAATTATTATGATTCGTGACTATAAAACCAGAGTATTATTATCTTCCAAGTAAAAAATACTTCATATAATGACTAAATTCCATTTTGAGAATAGATGTAATTAGTAAAAAAATATGCAATATATACAGCAGTTTGTAGTGAAGAAACAAAATTTTGATATGCGGTGGTGCGCGAATTCATCATACGTGACCTTATCATTGTAGCAATACATACTGTATGAACTGACTCACGGTTAAGATAGCTAAGATCAACGTGGTGTGACTTATCTACCTGAGCGCTAAATAAAAATAAAAATTAGTAATCTGGACGAAAAAACTTACGTGAATACATTTGGAGTAAACACGCATCTTCCTGGCTATAAAAATGTCAAAGTTATCGCTAATTGTAAATAAATAATTGTTTATCTTGCATATTATTGTCGTTTTTACGTAATTATCTCGTGTGAATATTTATCACAAAACATAATATAATCACACTCATGCACGTAATAATTGTCTTTTAAATTAATGTCTAATATAGACTATAGGTATATAATATGTGGATAATACGTCAATATTCAATATGTATGACTTGTAAACAAAATACTAGAAAATACTGATAGCTATTATAACAATATTATCATAATAACATGAGCTAGCTTATTCTAACCGGCTTACATATGTGTCTGTTCCTACCTTTTGAATTAATCGCTTTTAAAATAAATTCATCAAATAATTTAAGGCAATGACGATAATGCGGTAGATACACGATGATTATAATATGTAATAACGTGTCGTTGTTCGATTTTGCAGCGTATATAATGAAATACCCTTTGGTTCTTTGCAGAATATATTTGTTGCAATATACAAAATCAACAACCGTAATACATTTTTGTGTATAGACTTAGTTAGTGGTGCAAGTATAAAATCAAAAACTTAGAACTTTTGATCGTATTTTCACATGACTCCATAGAAATTATATAATATTTCGAAACTAACAAGGTTCAATCATAAATGACAATATATCAAAATACTTCACCATGATAAGACGTCTAAACTCTTAATCCACTTCTACTATTGATACGTTCACTACATTAATAGATACGACACGAGTACATAACATGATTGCGTTTATGAACCCTAATCATACATTTTATTATGTGTATTAGCAGGGTTAGATTGACAATTAATATATATTTAGTATGTTAAACATGTTTTTATGAGCATAAAATTGTTAAGATTAGTAATAATAAAATTCATTTTTATTTCATGTATAAATATTATATTATATATGAATATTTTATTTATATAGTTTTTAATGTATAAAACAAATATTATGCTTATAAACAATTTTGAAGATAGTTTTTTGTTAATAAATTGTAAAGAAGTAATATTAATAAAATAATAATCTTGAACCTAAACCAGTTTTTACTCATACTATTATATAATATATATAATATAGATAATATAATATAAATAATATTAGGTCGCTTAAAAATTGTTTTTTATTTACAAATGGAGTAATTTAAAAACGTATTTGCATAAGAAACCGATCTTAGATTATTATCAAACAATAATTATTATTGTTACTATTATTATTATTATTATTATTCGGTATTTATAGATATCATAATAGAATATCATAATACCTACTTAATATTTTAAGTGTATTTTTTATTATTATATTACACGCATTTAAATTTAAAACGATAATTATTCATAGCATATATATATTTTAGTTCCACTTAGTCCACTTAAATTGGTTTTATTATAGATTCCTTAAATAAATAAACCTGTATTACATCATGAAACTTTAACTCAAAATTTGGTAAATTAAGTTTACTGCAAATATAAAAGTATAATATATTATATATATTTTTCTTCTCTATTTGAATAAAGTGACATTTTCATTATCAATAAATCTACTGATTTTATGTAAGCAATTAGTAATATTTTAATGTTATATACTTACTCATATTTTATCATTATAGTTCTGTTTTTACGTTTTTAACAGACATTTGGAAATACAATACAGTTAAATAATTTGTGTTACTATAACTAGGTTCAATGTTAGACACATTATTTAACTTTCCATCTCGTTTGATGACGAAATAAGATAGATTTAAATGATTTCATCATACACGATTTGTGTTTATTTACAGCAAACATGACGTGACAAACAGATAATTAAAATAATAATTTATAGCCATGTATACATTTTGGTGTATTAAAAGAGTAATCGTCTAAAATAGCGACACATGAAAATAAAACCACGAACCCTAAATGCGATTTAATACGACGTATCATATTATATAATATAACTCTTTATATTATAGTATATGATAATAACAGTATATCTATTTGTCTATGTTACACTAA